TTTTTTTTTTTTTTTTTGAAAAACAATCACAAGGATTTTTTTTGGCATGTTGCATTATGCATCACTTCAGTAAGACAATTACTAGAAATGCAGTTAAAAGTAGGTTTCAAAGTCAACATAAAATTGCATTTGCAACCTATTTTGCTTTTATAACGCTATTTGTTTTTGAGATAATCATGATATTCAACAAGAAAAAAATTGTCCATCAGAAATTGCATGAAAACTGTTAATATGGTTAATATGATCCAATATCCCACAAGGCCTTGGTGATATCAGGGTCGTTTCAGATGTGGAGCAATTTGATGATGGATTAGGAAAGCACTTTGGAAAAATATGCCAAATTACCAGAAACAAGTATTAAAACAGCAAATAGGTTCTATTGTGATTTTATGTTGACTTTAAAGCAAATGTCTGTCATTTTAATCACATACAAACGGTAAGTTAACACACACACACACACACACACAAAACAACACAGAGGATAACTAGAAGTCAGAAACAGCAAAAAAGACCAAGAGGAAACTGATGAAGAGGAAACCACAGCTTGAAGTTACATCAGAATCAAAAACTCAAGACAAAAGAGACTAACAGAACTACATATTTTGAGAGTGAGTCTGGAAGAGGCTGAATTAAACCACAAATAACATGGAGGGACAGTACAGAGCAGAGCAGACCGGACCATAAACATCTAAAACACACCCGTGAGAATGAGATGGACATTTGGACATGAATGTCCAGCCACCAACTGCAGACAAACAGCTCAAAGTTCTGCTAAACACACAAACCAGGAACAGAGAGACACCAAATGCCTTTTCATTCAAGATGGAGGACAATCAAGACAAAGTCCTACCTTCTGCTAGAGGCCCAAACCTGCTCAAGAATAAGGGCCTTGGAGAGAAGTACTTCTTGAGAGTCAGGTCCCTGTACCTACTCAATAACTGCGCCATCATGTCCTCATGAGACCCAGAAGACCCACAATTTGATCACACACGCAAAACACTCCTTTTGGATGATTATGTTATTACATTAGGATAATAATTAAGCATATGTGTGAGTTCAAAAGAGTTTGTTGATAGCTTATTTAAAAAAAATAGTCAATTAATGAAAGTGTACATGCATTGTGGCTATGTATTTTTTAATGAACTTTTCACATTATAAATAACACTATCAATAATTAGGTTTCAAAATCTATTTTATTTTATATTATTTTCTATATACTCAAAATGGGTAATTATGCTGCCATTAAAAAGTTTGGGGTCAGTAAGTTTTTTTTTTTTTTAAAGAAATTAATATTTTATTAAGTAAGGATGCATTAAATTGATCAAACGTGACAATAAAACATTCATAAAGTTACAAAATACTTCCATTTCAAATAAATGCTGTTCTTTTGAACTTTCTATTCAACAGAGATTATGGAAATACTGATAAAATTTCATGGCTTCCACAGAGAAATGAAGCAGCACAACCAATTTCAACATTGCTAATAATAAATGTTTCTTGAGCAGCAAATCAGCATATTAGAATGATTTCTGAAGAATCACGTGACACTGAAGACTGGAGTAATGATGCTTTACCATCAATAAAAAATTTATAAAATTTAAATTGTAATTTTTTTCATAACTTTACTGTTTTTGCTGTATTTTTGATCAAATAAATGCAGCCTTAGTGAGCATAAGATACTTAGTTATATATATATATATATATATATATATATATATCCAGAATAGAAAAACAGGTACACTCACTCTCAGCCTGTTTTGATAAACATTCACAAACACACATTCATAGACGGTCATTTTTCGTCTTGTAACCCCTGCTGAGAGCATATGCCTTACCCTCTTGTCATTGTCACACACACACTGCTCACACACACACACACACACACACACACAGTCTGGTCAGCTATCCTTGTGGGGACTCTCCACAGGCGTAATGGTTTTTCTACTGAGACAGTATATTCTAAAATTTTGAATTTAGGTCCCCACCGTGACACGAGTCCCCATGAGTCTGTGTGTATTCAGGTTTAAGTCCCCACCAGGATATATAAACCTGTACACACACACACACACACACACATATATATTTATATATATTATGCCAATATTTACTGTTAATTTTGCATTTTATAGGTTAGCAAATCATTTATATATTTACCAGAAAAGCAGTTGTGTAAATGAAATTAAATATTGTCATCTAGAAATTACAGTACATATGTAAGTACTATATTTAACTTATCCTAAAATATCAGTATTCAGAGACTACATTGCGGCATTGTTTGTGTATGCAAGAATAAACACAGAGAAGGAAAATATACAGATATACAGAAATCATTAATATATTCCAAATACATATTCATATATTTTCCTCTATAGAAACAGTCTGTCCACAGTTTCACAGTAATTTGATCAAAACACTGCCAGGCACAGGTAACAAGTCAAAAAATGTCATACATCACAGATTTGGCAGAATAATGACATAAAAAGATATGTTCTCGTAAGTAGTTACATGATCATCATATCTGGAATTAAGTTGTTGTAGTCATATCACTATTATTTCCAGTTGGTTTAAGGATGTGGTTATGAGTATCCAAGCAGCACTGGTTGAAAAACTACATGTTGCATGACCGGTTCCTAGACTTTAATCTCTGACTTTTTCACAGTTTCACACAAACACACGTACGACACCCAACCGAAAAAAAGCACTAAAATGGGGTGACCCAATAAACATCCTGATCAATAAGCGGTAAATGGTTCATCTGAGGCGCATGGTTTGTGTATGTGCGAGTGTGTGAGGGGGAGACAGAAAGATTTGGCTATATTTGATATTCTAAAGATACGTTTCATCAGAGACATTGGGCCTCATTCATGAAACACGAGCAGAACAAATTTTTGTGTAAATCGTTCGTAAAGCTGTTCTGACGTAAATTTTCGGATTCATGAAAGTGTTCGTATTTTCAAAATGTTAGTTGGTACGAAAGAATATTCTTCAAAATGAGATACTAGTAATGCGTTACTGCCGTGGATATTCCAAATTATAGCAATCAAAGCGTCTCAGCTGGAAAAACGCTGTGCCACCAATTATTCCATTGCATTCCTGGACACGCAATTTTCATAGCTGTAATTCACAGGCGGGGATTATGGTAATTGTGAATGAGCGTGCACGAGCGCCCTATTTACGAATCATTGGAATTCATTAACATACGCATGTTTAACTATCAAATCTGATGTGCACGAAGCGTTTGTGAATCCGGAGGAGAGGAGGAGAGTTTTCGGGAAAGTCCGTTTTACGTGCAAATTACGAATTTACTCCTATATTTACGAATGTTTCATGAATGAGGCCCAATGAGTCAATCTCTTAAAACCTCTAGGGCATGTCTAGGTAACGTTTCACCTCAAAATGAAAACAAAAATAATAAAAAACATGTTCATAATAAATAAAATGAAGCCTATTTTTAAAACCATTACAATGTTTCTGCATTGAGACATTATTTATTATCATATTTGAGTACATTTTGTCTGATTCTCATTAAATTGTCATTATAGAATTTTAATTATGACAATTATGTCAGCAAAAAAAAATAAAAAATAAAAATTTATTTTATTATTGTTATTAAGGGGTGAAATGTGACCAGGACACTGGATTTATCCAGATACTCTTTTTTTTTTTTAAACCAATAACACTACAGTCCATGATATACCAATCATCAAATAGTCAAAATATCGCAAAGCTGCCACACATTCACTCTTTATAGGTTAATTAACGAAGTTAGTCAGTCTCTTTCCTTGATCCTTTTAATCAAATAAGAAATAGTAAGCAGGAAATGACCTCCATTCCTCCATCAATCTGGTTGAACTCTCTCATTGGCTCATTCACACTATGTAATTTCAAGACGTGTAATCTTATTGGTCCCTATTTTGAGCTTGGCTAAAACTGGCTACTTGGATTTCACAGATACAAAATTTGAATTATTGAACGAGAAGCCCTGAAATTCTTCTTGGTCCAGGTTTTGAATCACTTCCTGGTCAGGAGGGGTCAGGACGGGAGGATGGCGGGTGAAAAAACGATCAAAGTTCTCTGCGTCTCGACCGCACTGTAGAGAAGACGAGAGAAGAGAGATATGGGATGGGAAAATGATGGTATGGCATGAGCAAACAAATGAGGAATTAATGACAAATGAAAGCCTCAAACATGAAAAAAAAAAAAAAAAAATCATTAAAAAGTGTGATAACAGTAACTGTACTTTTATCGTAACAGTCTTAACTGAGTGAATATGTAATGGCAGAAAATGATGAGCACATACCTACAGTATATTGCATAACTAAACTACATGCACATATTGGCAGTAGGGCTTGGCGATATGGCCAAAAAAATTATCACGAAATCGATAATTCTCGCGATAAATTTTAAATCTTTATTTCTTTCAAGTTTAAAGGCAAATGTTTGCTCCTAAGTGAAAGTTGTAGAAACCAGACCATTAATTGTGGTTTTAAATGACTCTTTATGGTCAGAACATGACAAACACCATCTTTTGAATTCTTTACACTCTTCCAGTCATTTTTCCTTAACAAATTAAATATTTTAATAGAAAAAAATGATTTCTTAGTTTCTGCATGTTCTAATGAGTGATATGGTTTCAGATCATGAAACAGGTTTGTGTTGCCTGACTTTGATGACGTGTATCTTCAGCACAGTTTGCAATGCAGGCTGCAATATTAATAACATTACATTTTCTTGTCTCTTAGAAATGCACATTTGATAGTAGCTTGAGTTGACAGTAGTAATAGCTTGAGTTAGGATGCATATATAAATTGTTCATGATCAAAAACAGCAACATCTGTAAAATTGTATGTTTATATGGTGAAATTGAATTATTCTGACTGTTTGAGTTTTATTAAAATGAACCATTGGTCTTCCATAGCAGCATACATTTAAATCATGATAGCAGTTAAAACCACACATATAGCACCTCAATACCATGGTAAAAATGTAACTAAATGGTTTCTAGGTGTTTGTATGAACAACAGTAATCTAAATACATTTAAATGCATATTTAAATGCTATAGATTAACTCACCAAAATATTTATATTCTATTACTCCTTTAATACATTTAACATGTCTAAATTAATAATATAATAAAATTCGACATGAATATCCCATATTTCTGCCACAATACCATGGTGCAGTTAGTGTCACTACAGTAAATCCATGGTAAATGATGGCAATTTGTAGATTGAAAAGCCTTCTGACTATCATTGCGCCCAGTGTTTCTCCTGTTTGTCAGTGCTGTTTCCTCTGGCATTAAACTAGTTTAAGTCATTAGTGTTCTTCGCTTCACACTGGATCTCACAGCGCTGTTTAGTGTCACATGACTGAGACTCATCAGCAAGTAAACGCATCTGCTCGAGTGGATAAATGGTCCGTGTTGTGTGGTTTAAATGAGTAGCGCGGTTTCATTCTGCTTTTGGAGCAAAAACATCAACAGTAATCTAAATACATTGCATATTTAAATGCATATTTAAATGCTATAGATTAACTCACCAAAATATTTATATTCTATTACTCCTTTAAAACATTTAACATGTCTAAATTAATAATATAATAAAATTCGACATGAATATCCCATATTTCTGCCACAATACCATGGTGCAGTTAGTGTCACTACAGTAAATCCATGGTAAATGATGGCAATTTGTAGATTGAAAAGCCTTCTGACTATCATTGCGCCCAGTGTTTCTCCTGTTTGTCAGTGCTGTTTCCTCTGGCATTAAACTAGTTTAAGTCATTAGTGTTCTTCGCTTCACACTGGATCTCACAGCGCTGTTTAGTGTCACATGACTGAGACTCATCAGCAAGTAAAGGCATCTGCTCGAGTGAGCTCACGCTGCGCTACCGTTTGAACTTTGAGCCGAGTGGATAAATGGTCCGTGTTGTGTGGTTTAAATGAGTAGCGCGGTTTCATTCTGCTTTTGGAGCAAAAACATCATATTGAACATTTACCAAACTCTTGTTATCGTTTTATCGAGGAAGAGTATATCGCGATAATTATCATTTTATCGCCCAGCCCTAATTGGCAGTCAAACGATAACAAACATCTTCCTGCTCTCATTTGAGCAAACATTTCATGCACATCATTTTCTGTGTTGGAAACATATTCCTGATGCTGCCAATTGTTTAACTATCACATAATATAAGTCAACACATGTTAAAGAAGCATTTAGTTTTCAGGTGAGGCAGCATTCAGAAAAATGTGATCTGTGGAATTGGACAATTCCAAGTATTCAAAAAGAAGTGAGCAGATGAAGAGGGACTGTGAAAGGATTGTGAGAAAATAATAAGGGATCTGTATCCAAACCACTTACCTGTTAATGGGTGAAATCATTTTAATTCAATATTTAAATGTTTAAATATTTATTCTTTGAATTCACCTCACACACTCCTGAATGCAGAATTATGTGGGGGCGGGGCTTACTAAAACTCGGTCAATCAGGCCATAGTCAAATGTATTATCAGAAATATATGTTTAGACTCTTTTAACCTGACTCAGGCAGCACTGTTACATGGTCATCTATACACGTAAAGACTTATCATGAAAGAATTCAAAATAAATCAAATAATTAAATCAAATGTTCAAAAAAACCCTAATGCAATCTCTGTTAACTGCGGGGGCTCAGGAATGATCTGAAAAGTGGGAGACGCATTTAAAATCTCATCAGACTCCCTTCACATATACAAAATGCCTAGTTGCTATGGATACACTCATATGAAATACCATTTGAAAGCTTAAAGACAATCACTTTAACAATATTGTTACTTTAATAATTAGACCTAAATGTTGTTGCAGCTGTGATATATATATATATATAAACCAAAGATGACTTCTGTTCTTCAGTGGTATAGTGCACATGCCAGTATGGTATTACTTATGAGTCTTTTTTTATTCAACTAAACAAAACTGATTATATTGTATATAAAAGATTGCAAATAAAATATTTTTGCTAAGAATTTTTAAATTACAAAAATAAAGTCTGAAAAACTCTTTGTGACTGTATATGGTTTGTATGTGTTTTTCATGCATTTTGTGGTATTTTTAGAAGAATAAAGATATTAATATGAGAAACGCTAAGTAGGTGCAACATTTAGCCAACAAATAATATATTTTTGCCTCATATGATCATAATTGCATTTTAAAAAGTTATGCATTTCCCTAAAATACATTAAAGTGCATTTTAGGGAAAACAAAAAACAGTATTAATCTCATAAATTGTTATGTATAGCTTAAGCCTATTATAGCTAATGTACCTGTTACCAGGTATGGATATATAATGAATTTGTCAAAAGAATTCACAATGTAAGAAGAAAATGTTTTGTTTTCTAGGAAGGCGTTTGATAATAGGTAAATGTATATTAGGATTAAATTAACATGGCTGAGCTGTGCCAAATGGGCAGAAAGAAGAGTTATACTGATTATACTGTAAATCCTGGGTCCACAAAAGCAGGTTGGTACAATGAAATATGGTCAAATTTTGGATTTTGCTAGGCCATTATAGCATGTCGTCAGCCGCCGTCATATTTAACGCACCCTTGAACATGACTGAGAGAGACTGCTCTGAAATGACTCATGGCTCATTCAACTGTATTATGCAATATGTTAAGTTGAAGGTCCATTAAAATTGTTACAGTAAAAAAAAAAAAAAAAATTTTGTTAGGACATTAGACTGTGTATTAAGCCCGGTGTTAAAACGCACCCTCTTCATGCAACAACTGGGACCGTGCAGTGGGTGTGACCAAACTATTGCTCCAAGCGCAAAAGTGAGCAATAGAAACAGGGCTTTTATACTGGTGCATTGTTACCACCCACTGAGATGCAGCTTCACTCATAGGTAAAACTTGCAAGCAAAGATTTTAGACCCGCAAAAAAATGACAGCAGAACAGAGAGCAAAATATATGGGCGCGGAATGAAAAGTGTGGGAACTGCATTGAATATTTATTTGCAATGACAAGTGTTTTGTTATCAATTACTTAATTTTTGTAATTAAAACATTCTTAGCAAGAACTTTTATTTTTTAATTACAATATAATCAGTTTTGCTCTCAAACATAGTATGTTTGATTAAATAAAAAGGACACAAAAGTAACTCCATATGCCAAGAGCAGCACAGCTTGGGTCATGAATATGAATTCATTTAAGTGATGCAAATGCAGTGGATTACCATTAATCACCTTCACATTGTTCAGCCAAAGCAGCTGGTCTGCCTTGAAACAGCATATGTACTGTTTTATTGTTGAAAATTGTGCTATATGTCTTTAAAATGAATACAATGTATACAGTTTAGTGTGGTTTAAGTGTCCAAATATATTTTGGGGTCACTGTATATCCACATCCTGAGACAACCCGCAAAATCCACACAGTAAAAACGCTTAAACTCTTAAAATGCTCCATTATTGTTGTTTGCAGTGTTTGTGTGTCTTAATCTAAAACCAAACCTTTACTGCCTCACATATTTGTGTTTTCATAATCTTTGCGGTTTAACAGCAGAACATGAAGTGACGCATTACAATCACCAAATCTTCTTTGAAAAATAGACACTTAAAAATGGAAATAATTTCCATCACTGCAACTGAAATACAGTGTACTAGGAGAAAGAAAAGTGTAAAAAGGATGCACCCACCTGATACACCCACACCCACACTGACACCCACACACACCCACACACACACACACACAGAGCTAAATTTTTACTTACTGCTTTGGGTTTGAAGGGGGGTTGAACTTCCTTGCTTTGCAGTTTTTCCCAGTCCATGTAGCGGAAGAAAGCGTGTTCCTTAATGTCTCGTTCTCCTTCTGGTCCACAGCCCAGGCGCTTCCCTGGATGCTTGGTCATCAGCTGCAAACGTAACAGTGTTTGTTAATGTATGCAAGCATAGACAAAAATGTATAAATTGTGTTTTTGCCTACCCCCTTGCATATGGCCACTGCTTCTTTGGACATGGATTTCGGGTAAGACACATGATGCTCCATGATGGACTGGAAAAGCTCATCTTCATCCTCACCATCAAAAGGGGGCTAGAGGAAGCACATTAGCACCATTGCATCTATCACAATTGCATAATTACTTCTGAAAATGGCTCATCCAATCTGAATTTAGACCCAGAATGTTAGCGTAGCATTAGTTTACCTGTCCTGCCAGCATTTCATACAGTAAAACTCCATACGCCCACCAGTCGACAGACTTGCCATATGGTTGATATGCAATGATCTGTAACACAGGAGAATATATATATGCCTTGTGCACACTAACATAGACTCACTGTAATTAATATAACACACTCATATGTCCACACACACACCTCTGGGGCAATGTAGTCTGGAGTGCCACAGAAGGTTTTGGTTGTGGCCCCATCAAACATGTTTTCTTTGCACATGCCAAAATCTGCAATCTTAATGTGGCCTTCAGCATCCAACATCACATTATCCAGTTTCAGATCTCTACACAAAACCAGGGAGCAACAACAGTTAACATACACACATATTAGTAAATATTTGCTCTGACATCAGTTTGAGTATGATAAATAAATAATGCAATGCATCACGAAACATGAGATTCGATTTCATTATTTTTTATATTATTCATAATTAGTTTAAAACTGACACAAATTAACTTTAGGGACAATTTACAGCACAGTGGAATATTAAAAAACAAATGCATAATACTTTGTGTATTATTATAATAGATTGTTAAATTCTGGCATTGTGGTGTTCTAATTTCTTCACTATGCCAAACTAGTGAGCACTCAGGGTACATTCACAAACAAACAAACAAACAAACAAACATTTCACCTGTAAATAATGCCCTTTGAATGAAGAAAGAACAAGCCAATGGCAATTTCTGCAGCGTAGAACCTGATTGTAAAAAAAAAAAAAAAAAATAGAATTAAAACCAGTTAAATTACTGTTCTGACTTATGAATAAATCTAAATAACAGTAGTATTGTTGGTTGGCATGAACATTAATGCTTAAAACCTGACACATCAACAAACCAAACTGATGACTATGATAATTGCTTTTATAAAATGTCAGAAATAGTTATATATTGTACACAAAACATTTGGGGTCTGTAAGATTTTGTAATGTTTCTGAAAGAAATTTCATACAATTTAAAATAACTGTTTTCTATTTTAATAAATATTAATATGTAATTTATTCCTGTGCTGGCAAAGCTGAATTTCCAACAGCCATTAGTCCAGTTTTAAAATAATAATTTACAATACTATTTTGTGCTATTAAATGTATAATTATAACATTTAAAAATTTTGTCATAATTGAATTGTTTTGTGTTTGTTTTTAGGAGTGAATACATACACAGCATGGGGTTCCTTAAATTTTCCAACTTGTTGTATTTGATACATCAAATCTCCACCGTTGATATACTCCATCACAAAGTAAAGACGATCCTACAAACAATCACAACACAATTGATTATGGGTTTATAATGTGTTTTTCATGTGTATGTGCATCTGTATAGTACATGAGTGTTAAGAGAGAGTGTGATGTGTACCATGGTCTGAAAGCACGAGTGGAGATGGGTGAGGAAGGGCGGTTTGCCAGAGAGAGCGAGAACTCTCTTCTCCACCATAGTGCATTCCACATCATCATCCTGAATGACCACATCCTTCTTCAAGATCTTCACTGCGTACAGCTCATCTGAGCCTTTACGTTCGGCAAGCATCACCTGCAGAAAAACAGAGTAAAGGAGAACGTGATTATTGTGATACTGACATAGGGATAGTGTAGAACTTTCCAGCAGGTGTCACTATTATTTGCGTATGTATATTACAAATGATAGATGTTGTTATTATGTTCTGGGGTATTTGAAGAAATAGGTGTGTATATTTACCATCTTATTCTAAATGCAGGCACATTTATGTTATATTTCATATATGTTATAATCCTACTAGGTTACAGATATGTTTTATTGTCGTTCCTAGTCACCAGATTGTGTATCTGTATATGCGTAGTTAGACAGTGCGCATGCGCCGTTTTTTTTTTCTTCTTCATTCTGTTGTTGATCAGGACTGGTACGCTTGCCGGTTTATAACCTAGCATCCTAACTGATTAGTTAACTGACAAGCTAAAATGTCACATATAACTAGCTGATAGGCTAGCGTAGCAGTAACATTCAGGCTACCTTGCTTGCAAATGATTATTGTGTATGTGTACGCAATAAAAAGCTAAAAATGGCTTGAGTTGTATCCGCCGTGCTTGTCCTGAAACCCTTCCAGTGGGGAGTTTATTGACCTATAACAGGTAATTTAGTAAAAAACTGGACAGATAGTGGTAAAAATTATTTAATAATTGTTCATTTAAATTTACAAATAAATGTAATAATTTATTACGGAATTATGTATAATTGATTTGATAATTAATTTACATAATTTAAAGCCTACAAATGACATAATTTTTGTTAAATATCCCAAATGTATTTAATTTATAAATAAATGTGGCGTTAATTTTCAATCATTTACTGATAAATGAGAGTATGGCTATGGAATATTGAATACGGACACTTTTTCTCCCAAACTTCTGACTATTTTTAAAAAGAACAGAATTTTAAATACTTTTAGAAATAATAAAAATACACTTCCATTCAACAGTTTTGAGTCATAAAGCTTTTTTAATATTTTTGAAAGAAGTCTCTTATGCTCACCAAGGCTGCGTTTATTTGCTACAGTAAAATGTTATATAATGCATAGAAAAGTGAAACATTATTGCAATTTAAAATAACTGTTTTCTATTTGAATATATCCGGAAATCTAATTTATTCCTGTGACTGCGAAGCTGAATTTCTGGCATTATTATTTCAGTCTTTAGTGTCACATGATCCTTCAGAAATCATTCAAGAAACATTTCTTTTTATTATCAATGTTGAAGACAGTTGTGCTGCCTTATATTTTTGTGTCTTTGATGAAAAGAAAGTTCAAAAGAACAGCATTTATTTGAAATAGAAAACGTATAAATGTCTTTACTCTCACCTTTGATCCGTGTAATGTGTCCTTGCTCAATATAAGTATTAATTTCTTTCAAATAAAAAAAAATCTCAATCTCAAAAGGTAACATGCTAGCTTCACCAGCCCTTTTACTAACACAGCTGTTTGTGTAAATGAGAATGTGTACATGAATGAATGGTGTGTCCTACCTTGCCAAAGCTGCCTTTGCCCAGCACCATGATGAAGTTGAAGTCTGAGAGCTTCATGCGGTCTTTGTTGCCATTGGCATCATATTTAGAGATGTCATTCTTTGAAGAGCCATCTGTATTCTTATTGCCAGGGCCAATCTTGGCTCTCTGGAGAGTAAAAATAAAAAATCAGAATATTGTCAGAAAGGGAAGAAAGCTAGAAGTAAAAAAAAAATGTGTGAATACAAATGAAAAGTGATGTGGATTTCACCTCAAATTTCTGCCGCAGTTCTTCATTGCCCTCCTCTCCATCTGGTGGAACTGGAACGTTGAAATACTCTCCTTCCTCTTGGCCCAGCAACTTAAACCTACAATCCAAACAGATGAAGATGATGGTCTCAATCCTCGAGCACTGAAGTCTCATGTGTAGGTGGTATCTCGTATCTGGTAGTGCTTACCATCCGTTGACACCTTGTTTCTGCAGCTCAGAGATGCCAAAAGACATCGACCCCATGAAGTCATTTCTGCTGGTCAGATCCCAATCCCACACCTCCACTGACAAACGCCTGTCTTTATCTGTATCTCTGAGGTTACTATGGTAACATGAAGATAGAAACAGTCATTGCACATGTGAAACATCCACATCCACACAAATGAATGCACTTGATTGCAGTTACGTTTATTTGCCACTCACAAGCTGAAGTGTTCGTCCCATGTAGGATTGAGGGAGCACTTGATGGTTTTTGTCTTCTGCTTGCTCTCGCTCTTTGGGTCTGGAATTAATTTAAGCTTCACATATGGATCTGACAGGCCGTTTGGATCCATTGGCACCAAGTTACGAGCCTCCTTGACTACAAATTAAATTACAGAAAAACAAAACATGAAAACCAATAAATGAAGGACTTTAAAGTATTATTATATGTGCATAAATATTCAAAAACTTCAACTGGAACACCTTTATGTGCAATTTGTATTTCAAAGCAACTAAACCAGTGTTACTTTAGTCTTATTTAGTTACTATTTAAATATTTATTAATATATTAATTTAGCTTTTATTTTTATTTTTATATTTTAGTTTTAATTTGAAGTTTTAGTAATTTTGTTGTGTGCTTTTGTCATTTTTATAGTTTCTGTTGTTTTAAATACTTCTGTTTACTATTATACTATTCTATTTATATTTCTATATTTACTTAATAAAAAAAAACTTGCCTCGGCAAATAAAAGAAATAAAATTTATATGTAAAAGTTAATTTAATTTAATTTAATAAAATTAAAGCTAAATAGAAATATAAAAATATAAAAAACTAATACAAATTACAAAAGCACATAAAATTACTAAAACTTAAAAGGGTCATATGATGTTGCTAAAAAGAACATTATTTTGTGTATTTGGTGTAATGAAATGTGTTTATGCGGTTTAAGGTAAAAAAACCACATTATTTTCCACATACTGTACATTATTGTTTCTCCTCTATGCCCCGCTTTTCTGAAACGCGTCAAATTGAAATTGCATCATATGACCCCTTTCAAAAATGCCTTGTTAAATAACTGAAATAAAACAAAGTTTTCATATAATATTTATATATAGATATTTTTCAGCTTTATTTCAATTAACAACAATATTTTAATAGTTTTAGTTAACTAACAACACTAAACTAAATTTCTAAATTAAATTTAAATGACTAGGCAGTTTCTAGGGTGTTCTGAGTGGTTGCAAGAGTGCGCTAATGTGCAAGAGTGTTATAGGTGGTTGCTAGGGCGTTACTAGGCTGTTCTAGAGGTTGCTAGGGTGTTGTTAGTCAGCATCTATCATGTTCTGTGTGGTTGCTATAATATTGCTATCATGATGCTGAGTGTTTCATGTGTTTTGGAGTTTGTTCAAAATTGCTAATTGGATGCTAAGGTTTGTTCTTAGGTGCGGTTGTTAGGCTGTGTGCATTACTATATTTTAACAATGTCATCTGCAGATTTATTTGAAAGAATCTGTAAGTTTGCTATAAATTAATGGCAAAGTGTATGAAACTCCTTTCTATATACTCAGCCCTCTAAATGCAGCTCCAGAGAGCTGATGGATGGGTGAGCTGGTGTGTGTGAATGGGATGTGGGGCGATCGTTGGCGTATTGATCTCATGTTTCCAGAGGATGCAGTTTCTGCCCAAGGCAAAAGAGCTGAGAAAAACACAGACTCGTTCAGAACACTTTGTTGCCAAGCTGTGTGTGTGTTTTTTTTAAATTGAGTAATCAAATTTGCCATACATAGACCTAGAAATCCTCTTTAGCTAAGCCAAAAACATGCAAACATCAACATTATTGCAACATTTCCATTCAATACTCTTGTTGTACTGATCTGCATGCTTGGCTGAACGTTTCAGCTGGAAAAGCAGTTTGCTTTCTGCCCTGCTGATATATCATATATCCCACAACACCACTAACATGCATAATGAACTGACCATATTTGCTTATAACGTTACATATTCAAAACCAGCACAGCTATGGGTTCTCTAGTTTCTGAACAAAGCCCCTCCTCACTACTCCAGTCTTTGTATTCAAGTCCATAAAGGTGAGTAAATTATTATCAGAGCATTTGTTTGAAAAAGCTACCGACCAATTAAAATCACACAAATGACACAGTGAAATCCAGTGCATGGAGCATTAACAGTTTCGATTTTTTTTTTAGAAGTGTATCTCATTAAAACCAATAAAATCTTTATTGATCCATGTCGGGACCAAATATCCACACACCGGTGTATGAGGTTGTAAAATGTTTTGTCCATTAACCAATTATATTATGTATGTAGTAACACCTAACTAAATTAACAGATTTTAATGAAGTCAAAGGATTTAATATTATAAAATATACCTAATTCTATTGTTTAAATCGCTCCTTAACATAAAATGGGATTTAAGCAAGTCAACTCTGCTGGAAACAAACCTCAGCTTAAACTATCTTAAGAAGGTTTGCTGGTCTTGGGTGATTTAAATTGGTTATAGCTGTTATTGTGTTTTTGAAAGAAGTCTCTTATCCTCATCAAGGCTGCATTTATTTGATCAAAAATACAAGAAAAACATTTAAAGTACCTGTCAAATTTGAATATATTTGATTTTATGGCAAAGCTGAACTTTCAGAAGCCATTACATTAGTGTCACATGATCCTTCAGAAATCATTCTAATATGCTGATTTGCTGCTCTTTTTATTATCAATGTTGATTTCAGGATTGTTTTGATGAATAGAAAGCTCAAAAGAACAACATTTATTTGAAACAGAAATCTTCTGTAACATTATAAATGTCTTTACTGTCACAATTTACTGTATTTTGTGGGTGGTTACTATGTGTGCCATGTGGTTACTAGGGTATTCTAGACAGTTGCTAGGGTGTTCTTTGTGGTTGTTACTGTAGGTCAGGAATGGGCAACTTTGATAGTGACGAGGGCCAGCACTTTTTCTCCTTTATATCAAGGGGCCAGTTTACTAATCCACATCCACACCCTTTTACACCGTCTTACTCTATTTCCTTTTTATTGAAGGAAATCAAAGTATAATTAATGTAATTTGTTTTTAAAGATTTTATTAACTATAAAACTTGCGCAGTTATGCTAATTAACAAGCACATGTAAACATCTAAATTACATTGTCTGTAAATTTGTAACAAACAAATGTACAGAGGACCTATTTTTGATCAGTGGCCTACATAACATTCTCAACACAACCTGAGGACAGATAAAAAAGTGCTTCTTCAAAAATTAGTTACTCCAAATGGTACCATAATATAACGGTATCCGCAGGATTTTTAAAATCAAATTTAAGACTTTTAAAGACCTTTTTAAGACCTGCACAAATAAAATTAATACCATATGAGCGACGTAGGGCGATGTCTATGGTAACATATTAAACTGTAAAATGACTGTAAAAAGAATGATTTACAGTTCAGATACAGGTTTTCACAAAAACAAAACATTTTATAAAATGATAAACAATTTTTAAGATAAGGGCTAAGTCAAAAGTATCAGTTATTATATTAATTGAAACAATTATTATCAATCAATTATTATATTAATTAAAGAATATATAAATATATCTTAGGGCCCAGTTTCACAGACAGGGCTTATTTAAGCCAGGATTAAGCCTTAGTTAAATTAGAATATTTAAGCAGCTTTTATTAAAATGACTTAAAAAACATACATGGATGTCCCTTAAGTGTAACTTTGAATCAAATAAATATCTGTACTATATTTTAGTTCAGTTCTATTTAGTTAATATTGTGAGATTTTTGGTACTAAATAATATGTGCAATAATTATGATCCATGAAAGGCCATTTAAAATATAACATTTTTATTAATTATATTACAATTAGTGTAGTATTTTAGGGTTAAAATAGAGATTTTTTAAAAATATGTATACATATATAATGCCATGTTTTAATCACTAGATACCCGTATAGCTGTTTAATAAATATAGCCTTCTGTAACGAAATCATCCACTGAAGGCGAGAGTAGTGAAGAACCCAAGTGCAGTTTATTTACAGTGATCCAAACATCCAAACATAATCCAAACAGACGAAGACTAGAAACAATAATCCGTGACTTGACTTGACGAGGCATGAACAGACTTGACATGAACAGACTAGACTCACCAACAGCGGGATAAATACATTCAATACACGACGACAGACAATGGCAACATGATGGCTACTTATAGTTGACAAGAGGGTCACATGACAAGAACAAACCAATGGGAAACAAGACACATGACTAAAACAACCAATCAGAACATGACACATACACAAGGCTGAGATACATGAGGGCAAGGGAAGCATGACACAAACAGCATAAAACAATTACAAAATAAAAGACATGGAAACATGAACAAGACAAAACCCAAACACCACATTACATCTATATGTATTTAGGTCTACTCTGGTTGCTCTTAAAAGTATTGCCGGTCATAATTGCTTACTTTCTTTTTAGATTTTGAATTTGAATGTATATTTAGACATTATCAAACACTCCATTTTTATAAGTTTCGATTTTTTTAAATGTTAAATTAAAAAAGGTTAATTACTCACATCCCAGTGTTGTGATATTCACATAAGCATACAACATAAGTATTTATCTAAACAATTATAAAACAATTTTTTCCCTATACTTCTATTTCTGTATATAGTACATTATTTAATTTCTGTTTTTTTTCTTATATTGGTGTTATATTCCATCCCTACTGTGTTATTCCTATGTATGTCTGCACTATCGTGTATGTCTGCACTATGTCTGTACTTTCTTCTGCACTGGAAGCTCCTGTCGTCAAGTCAAATTCCTTGTGTGTGTAAACATACTTGGTAATAAAGCTCTTCTGATTCTGATTTATTACAAAAGGCAAGCAAATACGGAATTTAATGCAATTAAAAAAAAGTTTAAAAAACACAAGGCAACCACTTGCATTCAGTGAAAATCTGCATTCCTTGAATGGGCAGTCTTCATCGAAACTTATTCAACCTCCTACAGGGAGCGAAAGATTGCAGAAAAACTAAAAATTTAAAAATATGACAACTAGCATTTGGTTATGGTCGCTATTAAGGTGTTTCTCATGTTATCAAAATGCAATTATAGTATAACTATAACCCACTTCATAAAATACCACTTCCTGTCAGATTTCAACTAATACGTACTTCATAGTGGCTGCTGCCTTTTGCGATGTGACCGTAGGCGAATAAATATAGGTGAATATAACAGTGACGGGTCGCTAGGAAGGCTCATTTAATGGTAACGGATCGCCAGGTAGGCGTACAGCTGTGACAGGTAGACACACATAACGGTGTCCTGTATGGAAAGATGTTACCCCAGCTGATGGTTATCCATCTTCACCTGTACAAGTGAACACTGAGCATCAGCAGCTAATTAGGCGCATTGGAGTGACGTCAATTCCACTCTTTGACTGATTAGCTAGAGGAGCTGTCAATCTAGAACTAGTGGACCAATGATGGCGCTTAAGCCCGCCTTGATTTACATGAAACCGCAACATTTGGAAAAGCAAGTGCAGAACATGGAAACAAGAGCGAAGGTAAAAACAGCATAAGCATACAAAAAATACAAATATGAGCAGAAAATGTCTGCGAGCACAAAAAACTGAGAAATATAACCAAGTCGGATAATTTTGCATCAATATTTCAGTTTTGTGCAATATGATTTTAAATGTGTTTAAAGTTTTGATTCATGCTTAGTATTATTTTTAATAATAGTATGATTTACTTTGTGCAATATATTTTTACTTGTGCGTTTAAACTTTGGTTTCACATTTGTTATTTTTTTTTAATCTGTGACTGCAATACTTTTTGTGGAAAATTGATCCCATCCACATCCTACTATGCTGTAATTAATACAGTGAGCGGCTGGAAACAAGCAACCTCTCCTGGTTGGAGTAAGTATTAACATCATAAACTGAAAGCAATCTTTCCGTGGATTACTTTTCAAACATTTTAAAATCGATCATCCTAGTCTAATATGATCCAGTGGGCCGTACTAAAAGACACTGAATGGGCTGCCAGTTGCCCATCCCTGCTGTAGGGTGTTGTGAACTGCTAAACTGGCTTAATCTGAGAACAATACAAGTCAGTGGAATGTCTCCACTAATATATATAAAAATGAGTGTGTGTGGGGGAACTCACCGGTCACGGTGAGAACATTATTTGTTATACTAGCACTGATATGCAGCCGTCCTCTCCTCTCGGTGTGGTCTGTTCCACACAAGCTGGGAACATTTTCCACGCATCGTTTATGAATATTCATCATACAAGCTGCAGAAAACCACACATAATTAGATTGACAGCATTACACATGCAGTGTTTGTTTGTCACTCACTACTTACTAAGAAATGCCCAAACAATCACCGCAGACACCAGGACACACACTCTCACAACCACAATCACATTCAGACACAAAGATCACACCCACACTAGCTAAAACATGCACAGAACACCTAATAAACAGCTGTATTCACATATGTACTGCACATGAAATAGTATAAACTGAAAGATTCAAAAACTATATATTTTTATATGCCCAAAATCTATGTTATTTTTCAATATATATAATATTTATATTTAAGCTTTCAAACTTTAGTTGTCTTTTAATTAGTTAAAAATAAAAACCTATATAAGTACGATAATTTGTAGTCTCATACATAATGTAAATAAGGTAAATTTGCATTTCATGCATTATTTCCAAAGGATCAAAGTAATGAGTAGATCAAACAGTTCATTATGCAATGCATGGTCATAACCAGCAGAGGTCACTGTATGAGGGATTTCATTGTTCAGTGTGTACAGTACACAAGTGCATCTCAATAAATTAGAATGTCGTGAAAAAGTTAATTTATTTCAGTAATTCAACTCAAATTGTGAAACTTGTGTATTAAATAAATTCAATGCACACAGACTGAAGTAGTTTAAGTCTTTGGTTCTTTTAATTGTGATGATTTTGGTTCACATTTAACAAAAACCCACCAATTCACTATCTCGACAAATTAGAACGTGCAGGTTTAGACTCACTGTCGCATTTCATCCCCTGGTGTATGAGCCCGTACAGTAGAGATCCACAGTGGTCACAGAAGGTAGGGCTGGAGTATGTGTGTACCTTGAACTTATGCTTACTGCGAGGGTCCTGTGACACAAAAACATATTTCTTATCAAAATAAGAAACTACCTCAACCACAGAGGCAAACACAGATGCAGTTACAATGCAAGCTATAGCGGAAATATTTGGTAAATAGGTTTGGAATATATAGTAATTAGTGCTGTCAAATGATTAATCGCGATTAATCGTTTGACAGCACTAATAGTAACATTATTTTGTGTTATTTATATTATATTTGTGATACTTAGTTAAAAGAAAAAACAAAGTAAACGTGTATTTATTTGTCTTTATTTATTATCTATTGATTTATCTATAAATCATTAGATAAATAGCTAAATTATTTATTATTAATAATAGCTAAATCAATAGATAATAAGTAAAAAAAAATACACATTTATTTATTTTTAGTTGTTGTTGTTGCAGTTGTTGTTATTTTTTTCTTTTCTCATATATTTATTTATTTTTATGATTTTTTCTTTTAGTAGTTTTTATTACTTTTTATTTCAGATTTTGTTTTAGTTATTTCAGTATATCAAGTTAAACTAAATGAAAATGAGAATGTTGCATTGACAACTAGCTGAAATAAAATAATTGCAATTTTTTAAAATATTTTATTTCAGTTAACATTTATTTTATTTGAAGTAATAAAACTGTTTTTATGGTTTCAGTTTCAGTTTACTATAATAATCCTGTGTTAATGTTATCAGTTGTAATGGCTTTCAAATGCGTCTTCTCAACTATGATCTCTGATTCATAGAAAATTGCAGATAAAAATGCTTTGCAATGTCACAGTTCATTCCAGCTCAAGTATAAATAATATCTGTTCAATTTCTGAGAACATTTGAATGAAAATTCACATAAATCACCCATTCAATCCTATAGGAAGTTCAGTAAACTTAAGCTTAGAGAAGGGTCAGCTGCACCCACATACTGAAAAAGCAAGCACTGCAACTGATAGCAAGATATACCAGAAGGAATTTAAAAAACCATGTAGTGAATATTGCAGCACTATATGAAATGGTATGATAAATTCCTACAGCTAGGGGGCACCAATGTAGAGATCCAAAGAAATAATCTACTGCAAAGATTACTATAAAAAAATAAAATTCAGATATGTTGACTGCTGCTGTTCCTTTGTTGAAGTGATTCCAGCAAGCGCAAATTCAACAAAATCAAGCTAATGGTTTTATTATTCAGCAGCTTCTCAGTGTTCTTCAAGCTTTTGTAAAGGAGTCAATGGTTGAAAGGGTCAAGAATCAAAGCTTTCCTACACATCAGCATCACACAACAGAGATGCAACAAATATCACATGTGAAGTACAGTATCATTCACGGAAAACAAACATAATTGGCTGCAAAGCAGAAACAAAGCACAACACAGGAAGTGTGCATGTGCGCCTGCTTTTACACATATAGGGAGGAAGAGGGGTTATAAATAGAGATTAGAGAAGAGAAAACTGATGTCTCTGCCTGTTTTCTTGTGAATATATAATGCAAGCAAACACATGAGGAACATGATTAGTGTTAGGCTTCATTAAACAGTACATAATCAGTTGCCACTGAATAAATATTTAAACTGCTCACCAAGCAGTGTGCATACATGAATAAGTGTGTGAGTGTGTGTTTACTGCTTAGTCACAGGAAGAAGTTTCTTTCAGCTGATAAGGAAGTGTATTTCACTATCAGAAAAGATGGCGCAAGAGAAGCCAGAAAGGGGGTGGATGCAGGAGTTTTCTAGTGTGCTCACAGGCTTTACTTACATCTGATGCTGGGCCCTTGTCGGCTCCAGGGCAGGAGAAAGCAACAAACTCATGGCAGCGTTTGTGGACCACAAAACCGCATACTGGGGGAGAGAGAGAGAGAAAGAAAGAACTTCATTAAACCATATTTGATCTCTTTCATCGTTTTATTAGATAGCAAAATAGATATCAATTAAATAGCACACTATTTTACAGAACAACAGATATACTGTTCAAAATGAAGACAGCAAGTATTTGGAGATTTTCAGATTGTCGAATGTTAGTGTAACAGGTTCATAGTTAGTAAATGTGATGAACTACACTGGCGGTTACTTGTTGCTCTGTTAGTGCGGAGTAAAGCTGTGCCATTTGTTTGCAGATGCCATGTAGTTTGATATTTTTTTATCTAATGCAGTCACACAGACATATTTAAGTGCAGCTTAATACTTCTTGGAGTCACTGTTTATTTCCCAACACTGATATTTTTAAGGAGGTACATCTTCAGAGCTTGAGATAGAGGACATTTGTGCTTCTGTCTGCTGACATGAATCAGTGTTGTTTTAGCATTATTTATACTATTACAGTTTTGAAATAAGCTCTGTTTGTATATTTTCCATTTTTAGCAATTTTATTATGCAAGTTTAAGTCATTATTTTTTTATTCTTTTTTCATATTTATTTAGTAATTTTAATTAAAAATTAATTTTAATATAGTTATTTTTATTTGTATATTTTTTGTTTAAATATTTATATATATTTACAAAAATATTACATTTTAATATTTCTAAGTTCTAATATTTCAATTAACTATAAAATTTACAACACTGACATGAATCCAAGTAGTTTAAGCCAATTGTAAATTTGTCATTTTTATTAGCTTTTGTTTTAAATATTTAATATATATACTGTATATATATATATATATATATATATAATTTTTTTTTTCAATTTAATTTTAATACTTTAACTTATTTCAAGCTAGTTGCCAAGGCAACATTTCTAATTTTCATTCTTTTCTTACATTTTTTAAATGGATGTATATTTATATAAATAATAAGTATAATGTTTATATAAATTTTTTTTTTCAAGTCTATTTCAATTAACTATAAATGTTAATAGTAACAACACTGACATGCATCTGAGAAGTCTGAGAAGCATGTCACAGGTTTATTTCTATTATGTTATTATGTTCTAGGCCATATCTGCACATAAGCAAAATGTGAAACTACCACTCTATCAGCAAGTAAAATGTACTTATACTTCATATGTACTTAAACGTCATCATGTACATGTTGAGTCTTGGTGGATAAGCTGCATTATGGACCTGAGCCAAGCATTTTGTCTTCCGGCTTAGATTTACCTAATCGCCCAATTTGACCGTTACTTGATCATAATAAACCTCACAACCTAAGGTTAGAACAGAATGTGCAAAATCTAATACTCTCTTAATGTTTTCAAGTCACCAAAACTACAAATTCTCTGGTAAATCCAAACAGGAAGAGCAACAGCAATGACAAATATAGCTGCAAGCAGCAATTAAGGGGCCAAGCACAACAAAGGTAAAATGAAGAGCTAAGGAGCTGTCTTTAATTACTCAGTAAAGACCGAGGTTCTCCGACCCTGCTCCTGGAGAGCTACCTTCCTGCAGACTTAAGTTCCAACCCTGCTTCAACACACCTGTCTGTAATCAAGTAGCCCTGAACACCTTGATTAGCTTGTGTATGTGATTAGGGTTGAAGCCGAACTCAGGAGTAGTTCTCCAAGAGCAAGGTTGGAGAACCCTGTTAAAGCGCGTAAATTTTTACAAAGCTCATCGGTCTGAAAAGCGAGGTGTGCTCTGATTGGCCAGCTATCCAGTGTGTTGTGATTGGCCGAATGTCTCAAGCGTGTGACGGAAATGTTACGCCCCTACCATACTGTGATGCCCTGTCCGGCCGGAGCGACGAGACAAAAACAAGGTAGTGTTCTATTCAGTATGCCTTTCCAAATCTAACAAGACCAATCTTGTGATTTTTGGACAAACTAGTCAGAAGTTATAAGCAGGAATGTCACATTTTTACATCTTTTGACCAGTAGATGGTGCTGTGCCAAAACTACTCATGTTCTCTCAGATCATACTTGTTATAACACATACCAAGCGTGGTCAGAATCCGCTAAAGTGTTGCGGAGATATAGCCTCATGTCTATTTTTGCACAAACTTCGTCAGATTCATTAACACGCTTTAGAAAAACGGTTTGGTATATCAAAAAGATTTTGATAACTTTTTGCCAGAATTCTCTGACGATAATCTGAGCTAATGTTGGTTACATTTGGACCACCATCTAGGACGAGTTCGAAAAAGTAGATTTTTTTTTTGGAAAATTCAAAATTGTGAAAGAATCTTAACCCATATAAATTAAAATTTGGTATGCATTCAACTCGGTATGAGCCAAGGAAACAGAGCAAAAAATAATTTAGTTTTTAGACCTTACAGTTAAAAAGATATTAGCAGAAATATGAGTGCAAATTTGGCCTATTGGTGGTTGGAGGTTGAGATAGAGACTCCAAATTGGTTGGCTATGGTTAATATTGAGACTGTCCTCTATCTGTGTGCCAAATTTCATAACTTTTCCCCAAGCGGTTCTATAAGATTCATAACAATACGTTAAAGCGTTTGTAAAATACAGCATTTTATTCTAAAATTCGAAATGGTCCATGCTCAAAAGATCCATTTTATGATTTTTGGTCAAACTGTTCAGAAATAATATTTATTTAATTAAATTATAAATAAAAAGGTAAAAAAGTATACCTTTTCACCAGTATATTATCTCTATATATATTATTTCAGTATATTATATCTTTTGACTAGAAGGTAGCGCTGTGCCAAAACTACTCATGTGCCCTCAGGTCATACTTGGTACTGCAAATTTCGCAATTTCGCCATAGACTTCCAGAGCAGAAGAATAAGAAGAAGAAGAAACAATAAATGGATACAATAGATGTCTAAGCACCTTCAGTGCTTGGCCCATAAATATGTTCATATTTGTCACAGTTATTGATAGGAGTTAAATAAAGGGGGACATTCACACATAAATCTATGTATATAAAATAAAACTAGGTCAAAAATACATATCACACACTAAAAGAGTCCAAATTCCTGAATAAGCACCCCCTACTGGGGATCCCATGGAGTTCATGTAGGCCTAAATGAAATAATTGAACTTTTCACACATTTTCTGTGCTGATTTCTGCAAAACATTTTTAAACTTTTTGAATAAAGCAGAAAACACAATCTGAATAATGCACATAATGATAAACGCATACATCACTGTAAGTCATTTCAAAATGTCAGTGTCAAATGAATGTAAATGTCCGGGCATCAATAAAGAATTTATGTTCTGATCTATATAAATATGATATTGTCACTAACATACTTCCAGCATAAACATTTTCAATCAGTTAATAATGCTTTACTAGATAATGCTCCCGTTCTAAATATTTAAAACAGTTTCCTGTATCCTTAAAATGGCTAAAAAAAGAATGATTGTTGTTGTTGTTGTAATCTGCTCTTTTTATAATCCATCTAACAGTGTGGCAAGTAAAGCCAATAATGATAAACCGCTAACGATCATTTGCCAGCTAAGCCCAGATCAGCACTGAACAATGAAAACTGATCACTCCAAAATCCTGGTTTTAACAACTATTTTAGTCTTTAGCCTGGAATACACTACTTAATTTTTGCCCCGATTTTCCACCGATTTACAATCTGGAGAAGTTGACTCTAGTTGCTGAAAGTCAGTGCCAGTCTGTGGATTTGAGCTGACAGATTCCATAGAAAATCGCATAGTGTATGATGGTCACAGACTCCGATTTTTTAGCTTCAGACTATGATTTCATCCAGTCAGAGGATAACAAACATGTTTGATATTTTCAGCCAATTTTAGAACACGTTGTTTTCATTTGTCGCACGTCTCCTAGCAACAAGGCACATGTTTCTGAACAACATAAAAGTCTGGTAGTGTATGATCCTCAGTCGTGTAGTGTATGTTGGCCAGTTTTCCTTTGTCACTATTTACAAAGTATGTATGATGCCCAGTGTTTTAAAAATCTGTTTTAGATTTTAAAAGTCATGTAGTGTATTGCAGCCTTTACTTGTACGGTTAAAATATCTAAAAATCTGTGAATCAAGATGAATGTACTTGAGAAGCAACACTGAATAAGATATTTAGCATATCTTTAAAACAAGTGTATTTTGTCTTATTCACTGACAGTTTTTTTCTTGTTTCAGGCACAAACAAGTTAAAGATAAGATAAGTGAACAAATCTGCCAGTGCAGTAAAACAAAATACGCTTGTCAACAAGTCACATGCAGTGTTACTTCCAAGTAAAATAATCTTGTTTATGGATTTTTTTTACTGGAAAACAAGCATGCATTGAGAAGAGTAGTTTTGGAGGTATAGGAACTCTAGCTTGTAGACATAATGTTTTTTTTTCTTGAAAACTATTAGGAGGAAGCTCTTAAAGACTTAAAGTGTGTCAAGAACATGCCCAGTCATATTTCACCTCAACATCAAAGAAAAAAAAAAGTTAAAGAGTAAACATTTAGAAGTCTGTACATTAATAAAGATTCACAAATATTGTAACAAATGTATTGCTCATTGTTAGTTCATGCTAGTTAATCTAAGGTTAACTAAGGAAGGTTTTCGTAAAGTGTTACCCAAGAAGCCTATTTGGTAACACATTACAAAAAGGTTCCATTTGTTACCATCAGTTAAAATGAATTAACAATGAAAAAAATGTAATCTTCATTTTAAAATGATTAAAATCAAAAGCTGTATCTGTTGATATTATTTAATAGATATATTGCCTATATTAAAACATAATTTTCTGTAAATATGCTAAATGACTTGTAAAATTTACTGACAAATTAAACTGGCATGACTTGATAACCGTAAGGAAACAACGATCAGATAAGCACACACACACATGCACAAAAGGTTACAGGCCCTCAGACTTTAATCACTGGGATCTAGCATTCATTATTAACCGGACTATTAAATATGTATTGTTTGACAAATTATTTATGAGGTTGATAACTCAATGGCAACTGTTGCAATCTGTGATT